TTTGAGTTATTTTCGTTTTCAATCAAACGCGTGGCAAGATGAGGGTGTGATATTTTTTCTCTCACAAGTCTTGCAACGAAGAAGGTGCGAGTTTTTTTATTTATCATTTACAAACGAGTTTTGAGTGATATAACTAAGCCAAGACTGCCACCGTCATTTTGAATCTCCGCCTGGGTAGATTTTAGTCACGTGCTAGGCAACGTATAATCAATAACAAGATACAAGATAGAATTTCATTTCAGGCCTATTTATCAATTTTGTGGTGTATAACTTTCGCATTTTAGTACGTAATACGTATTTTGAATCTTCAAATTCTCTTGAAACTTAAAAGAAAATTGTTCGATAAAAATTCACTAAAAATCGGTAGCTAAAATTGTTTGTTTAAGTGTTATTTGATTTTCGTGTTAACTTGTAATTTCGTCAGTCGCCGGCATCTTTTGTTGCTTCACACCGGAAAAACACACGATACGAAACGTAATGATCGATTTTTTCCTCAATCTCACGCCATAACAGAAAAAGCTTTTGAACATCTGTAAACTCCGTGCGCTTCGCAGTAAATGATATTTTCAATGAATCTTCGGATTGTTTTCAAGTTAAAGGATTGTAAATTACAATTTTATGAAAAACGAAGGTTGTTCTGTTATTTCAGTGTGAATCCTTGCATGCCTGCCAGTCGCTGGCGCCGCTTGTTGAAACTAAAACGAAAAAAAAACACTCTTTTAAGATTGTCATTGGCTTCTTTTTCACCCCACCACTATTCTTAGCAACAAAGGTCGCCAATTCGTTTGTTTATTGCTCGCCAAAAACTATCAAATGCACTCAAAAGCCTAAAATCGAAAAAAAGTTTACAGGAATCGACCAATCGAGCGAGCGAATGCTATTCCCCACATCGTATCTATAACTCGCTCTTGCGCATGCGCGTAATTCACGAGTTAAAAAGGAAAAACAGATCTTGCTCGTACAAGACTTTTATAAAAACTGTCAAAACTGAATTCTGGAAATGTTTTTAGAATGAAATACTGCTAAAAGCAAGTTTTTCGAGGTTTTGGCAGAGCGCGTTTGTTATCACTTTTTATTTGTTCCTTTTGTCTTTTACCTCGGGCGTGGCATCCAACAAAGGTGTGATTTTTTTCGTCGCTTTAAGATGTGGCGAAGAAGGGCTAACACTCGAAACGTCAGCTTTTTTACTCTTTACGGTGACCAATTTACATTTTCAACTCAGTTGTTAACACTTAATTACCTGTTTTTAATTTTGTCTAGTATTTTCAAAGCGCCTCAACGTTAAATTATCAAGATAGGATTTCAATTGAGTTTTTTCCTTTTTACTTTAGGAAATGTTGCACTTGTTTGTGGTTTTGAAAGTTAGTTCTCTAATTTAAAAAGGACTTTCATCAACCTGTCACGTAATTTTAGTTTGAAAACTTGCTCTGGCCTCGAGGAAGTCTTTGAGCAAATACTGACGATTCATGTCGGAATTTACTATGAACATTTATACAGCTCCATCTTGCGCGAAAGCCACAATGACCATAATTCACGGACGTCAAGGAAACGCAATACAAACGATCTGCTCAAACCTCAAGGGCTTCAGAGCTAAAATACAAATTTAAGTTGACAATGAGGACAAGCAGATTAAACAAAATGCGATTTAAATTTACGCTGATATGCCAAATACTTAAAATTTGTTGATAAATATTTTTAACATGACAGTTTTTAATGAGTCATCGACATTGTAGTTCAAATAAATTTATGGAGCTGCAGATATGGCTATTTTTTTTTCGCCATACACACTATCTTGAAATTTGCTTACGTCCTTTTCATATTACTCATAGTTTATTGAATTGTCGTCTGTCTTGTCTCACGCAACGTTAAATCAACACGTAATAATGGCTCGAAATTATTTGAAAAGTTGCTATTCTTGTAATATCGTTCATTTTTCTTCCTACGGCTTTGTCACCACAAGTTAGACAAAAAGTACAACGTTTTCCGTCCTTATGATAAAATCATCCTGACAATTTGTGCACGATGAAACATTTAGCTGGCTTCACGCACTCCGTAGGAGTTTTAAAACATATTTTAGGCGCACTTTTACCAGAATAAACAATACATTTTCCCCCATTATTTAACATAGTAAATGTTTTGTTCAAGATGACAGACAAGACAGATACCAGAAGCTGTTTATGTCTTTCTATAAGACACCAAATGACTTCATTAATAAATTATCTCCTATATTTTTCCAGCTTGTCTAATTCTTCGGCGGAAGTTGCTCGAATTTTCAAGTTACACTGGAAATTGTTTAAGTTCTCATTAGGTGTGATATGCCACTGAAAAACAGCTCAGTAATTTCGAACTTCATTATTATTAAAGAAATAAAACGTCGGAAAAATTGTGTGATTCACATTTCTAGTCATTAAGTCTCTATTGTTTAGATATGCAATTGTATTAGTCTTAATGCACAGATAGTTTAATTTGAAAACTGTCAAACAATCTTTAGAACTTATGCATGGACGAACTTTTTTCAACAGTCGTTACCTATTTGTTTTGTATCTGAGGCGAAGAACTGAACATAAATTCAAGAAAAAGTTCCAGTAAAGAAGAGTGAAATTGTTTCAAAAACAGCTTCAAGAGATGGGGTTTTGCCTAAGTTAAAGAGGCTTGCATTTTTCAGGGAACTTATTCAGCGTCGCTCTTAAGGCCCTGTTTACCATTCGAGTTGTTATCAGATAGTTGTCTTTTAACTGTCGACTGGTCTCATTCGCGTTTTCAACGACGTAGAGAGTACTTTATTTAGGCAGGCGATAAATTAAATCGTGCTATTTTTTGCAATTACGTAGAGACCAAACTGTTCGAGTAAAGCTCCTGTGGACTTATTTTCTATCGATTACGACTCATCTTTCGTTAAATGTGTTTCATTGGCGCCTTGAAACGAAGTAAGTACGTGCATATGTATAATATGGAATTAACAATCAAGGAAATGCAAGACTAGAAATACAGAATATTGTGGTGAAACTTGTAAGATTTCCTTTGCGAAGCATTGTGTGTGTTATAGTCTTCATCCTGAACTTTTCATCTTACACTTAACGAAGGGTAAATTATGATTTGCCTGGTTTTTACTCAAGCATTCATGAAATAATCAGTTCGGGAAGTTAAACGCTGACAACCATAGCAATACTGCTTCCGATGAAGGAAAACAACTCAAGGCCACTCAGAAAGTGGCATTACATCGTCGTTTTATAATCGATAACAGAATCCTTGGAACCTTTTAGCCATCACGGAAACATTACAGCATTTAGGTTTTTAAAATCATGTAGGAACATTAAGCAGCAGGCTCGTAGTACATCAAGGTGGTAAGACATCCAATAAATTTTATTCGTGCCTTGAATTATGCATTGCCTCTATTTCATTTTTTACGGTCTTTTTAAGGACAGGAGTCTATGAGGAAACGGTTGCTAGATCCTTTTTTCCCTATAACTCTACTTTTGGTGTGCTTTCTTGTAAAAAAAAAAAAAAAAAAAAAAAAAAGAGAAATTATAGGTTCCGCGTAACTTAACCAGCCCAGGGAAAATGGAGGAAAATTAATACTGCCTTCATTTGCGGATTTTTGCCTATCTGATAACAGGAATTCAGGATAATTTTATATCTCTCAATTCCGCGCTCAGATATTTCCTCATGATTTCAGCTGAGATAAAGGAGGTTAACACATAAAATGCTTGGGACAAGACAAATTTGAGTAAAGTTTTTTATTGTTTTTGTTGACGTCGCTGTTACCGCTGTTATATTTTAAATTCCTAACTTTTTGTATAATAAGGCCCTAGATAAATAGCTCCAGGCCTCTCCCTCCCAAAAACGCTAAAAAAAAAAATAATTTAAAAAAATGTGGAAACAAGATCAAAAATTGGTAGCATCGAGCATCACTTGTCTTTTGTAGAGAGCATTTCGATATTATTTTAGGGGAGAGAACAAAAGCCATTAATAAAAGCTATACGCAAATTTTTCTCAAGTTCCTTTTCTATTTCATGATCGATAAGTCATAAAAAAAAATTTATTCTTCTCTATAAACCTTTTTTCTCTTTCTTCATTATACAAGTCCTTGAAAATTCAGATTTTTCCTACTTGAGTTTACACGATCGCCTTTGGTTATTTAGACCGATTATCATAGAAAGAGGAAATTTATGCTAATTTCAATTGAGACAAGCCATCTTTGTCTGGCATCACGCAACAGATTCATACATGGGGTGATGTATGAATAAATTCAGTATACATTGGACAATTCGACTTTTTCCAGGAAATAGTAAACTTAGATTAAAAATGTCAAACTCTATATTTCCCAAACCACAAATATCGAAATAATCGGCAATTTAACGGTCGACAGATGCCACCTGCTATTGAGGTGAGTACCTTAAAACTATTCATTGAACATGTTTGTGCTAATAACTTTCTCTTAGACTTGCACAATACGCGATTTTAACTTTTGATAGATAAGCTATGTTTATGGACGAATATACAACAAAAAAATTGTAACTATTCTTTACCATATGTCAGTACTGTTCTCTTGTAAAAATAATTTTTCAGATATGATTGAGAGCGGTTAAAATGTGCTTCCGTACGATGCAGAAAGATCAAATTTCCGCCTAGTAAAACGCGGAAAAATTGAACATAACATAGTGTCATGCTTAAATGTTATTGAGAGAGGAGAGATGGGAATGTAACTATTTTAAATGACGTAATTCGTATTTGCCGAAGTTTTTGGTCGTTTTGCATCTAATATCCAATTTTCTGAATAAGAAACGCTAAAAAAACTTTCGTTAAATACCCTTTAATTTTTCAAAACTGAGTTCCAATCATGGGTAGATATTGAATGTCGGATTTTGACTTAGTCTTTGCTAGTTGTTGTAACTTTAACTCTTTTTGTATCAGTAAAATAGAATAGGAGAGATATATAAATGAAGCTGTACTCATAAGTGAATCGAAGGATAAAAAATGATTCGCCGTCTGCGACTCACCTTTTCCAAAAGTGAAGTTAGTCAACAATGCAGTCCAGGTTAAGAACATGAAAAATGAACAAATTCCATGCCTTCTTCAAGGTAACGGTTTTCTGTTTCTACCACGCGCGTATGACACAAGTTTTAAGTTGATCGCTAGCTCCAAGCAATGGATTAAGCTTCCCAAATCGACCTGTCGTTATGAACGAAACCTTATTATGAAAATAAATTTTAAAAAAATGCTTGCAGCTGTCAGTTCCATGTGGAAATTAATGCAAATGACGCAAATGGATGTTATCCGCTTCGCTCGATGGAGAGAATTGGGTCTCTTAGGAATATCTTCACATGTTAACATACGTATTAGACACCGAAATTAGTCCTTTGACCAACATTGTAAAAATTTCGATTCATTCTTTTAGGTCCAATTGACGGCGAAAAACGCTAGGAAAAGCAGATACTTAAACGTTAAGTTGTACGTTTTTAATCCAAAAACTTTCAAAATTTTAAAAATCAAGCATATTTTTCAGTATATTTTTCGTTCATTCCTACTAAAAGATAAACACCTTGCAAAATTTATCGTGTTTTTAATATATGACGTTCAGCAACTTTGGTAATAATAAAAATTTTATTCAAACAGAACTGTCATGTTCCCGTTTTAGGTCCGCTTTAATTTGCCAGTTTTTGGACGCCGACGTGTTATTCTAATCAAACTTCGCTCTTAAAATCGTCTGAAGATGTTGATAATCAATCCTATTATATCGTTAGGTGTTCTTTAACTGCACATCGAAAAGGAATGTACCAGCATTACAAATCTCTATTCAGAAATTTTGGTTCCAAATGTGAAGTGAAAAACGACTCGACCTCGACAAAAACTGCAGATAGAATTTAACTTAGTGCAACGGATTGACTGGAGTAATGTGTCTTGGACTATAAAATGTCATTATTAATTCCTTGAAAGTGTCGCACGTCACGTCAGGTGCAAAGGCATTATAATTATAGATCGTCTTTGGTAATCCATGTCAAACAAACGCAATGCAGGTGAATTTGAGAGAAGAAACGAGAGACTTTATTAAGAATTAAAGGCAAGTCCAGCGAAAATGGTTTTGAGACTCACACAAACATAGATAAAGAGGAAAATTTTGCACTTCGTACTCCTTAGCTTGATAAATTTTATTAAGTTGATTACAGTGTGTATATAGTTAATCTGTGTTAATGAGACTGGAAAGACAGACGTTTTCTTTCTGTCATCCATAATTTTCTGAAACGTGATGATTTTCCTTGTATGATTCTTTATCTTATTTTCTACAATCAGTTTATAAAATAATACAAAGATAAAATAATAAAGATTTGAACGGCTGCCCATGCACTAGAAGTGATTATCAACATTGTCTATGTGCGTACGGCGTTTAAAGTCTGGTTAAACAGGTGTTCCTAGACAATATTGCCTGATGCGTTAGAGTTAAACAAACCCACTAGAGACTGGGGCTCCACGCTGTGGTAGACCAAGCACACACCAGGATAGGTGAGATCCAGATATAGAAACTTCTTTCCTTAGTGTAGAGGCAGTAAAATCATTGTGTTTTCGCTAAAAAATTGGGCTGAAATGGCCGTGACCAAAAGTTGCACTTGCTAGGCTTGAAATTTTGAGGACTATGTCACTCCAACCAATCTATTAATAAAGTTTTCATTGTGAGACATACGCCCTAGGGTTGTTTAGTGAGATTGTAAAGGAACTGTTTGCGTCCGTCTGCGATGACGGACGTTGGGTTATTTTTCCTTTCATCAAAATGCTCCATTCAAATCTCCTTTCTTCTTTTCCTCAAAATTTTAGTGTAGTTTTTCCTGTGGCAAACAATAGCACCGTATCAATTCGGCCGTTGGTTGCAAATAATCAAAATGAATTTTTTTCTCTTAGTGTCATGTCCGGTTCTCCTAGAAGAAATGGCCCATTGTTCCGGGTCAACTTTCCAAACAAAAAGTCCTGAGTAATTGGTGGTCCTGAGGGACTTTGGCCGAAGGGAGGAGGAAAAGCTCGTAACTGATCGAGAAAATTATTGGAGTGACAATTTTGCTGCACTGTGGGAGTGGGTAGTGTAAATATGCACTAGTAAAATCAATCTCTATCGGTGTACCCAGGGTTAGACTTGACCCTAGTTTAGCGCATCGAGCCAAAGGTTCGCAAATTCAAAAATTATTAAATTTATCCCTGTTGCAGTGACTCATTTAAACGACCTCTCTCTATATGTAAGTCAAGTCGCCTCTACTGGTGTTAAATACAATCGAAAGTGACGGTTTTCTGTGGAGAACCTCGAGGCGATTAAAGACCTTGTTTCTGGCGCACAGCTGTTTTCAAACGAGGCGCTCATCATTTTTAGAACCAGCATGTTTACCTAACACGAGGATCCTTCTTTGCAAAAGCGCCGAATTCGTGTAACTATGTTGATGATACAAGATATAATGATCAAAGGAATGATTTCTAGTTTTTGCGAGAGCATGTATTTGAGTTATTTTCGTTTTCAATCAAACGCGTGGCAAGATGAGGGTGTGATATTTTTCTCTCACAAGTCTCACAATGAAGAAGGTGCGAGTTTTTTTTATTTATCTTTTGCAAAAAAAAGCAGGTCCTATTTAAAAGTAGGTCTCTCTCATTAAAAACTGTCAGAGTTTTTCAGCGGATTTTAACAATCTTTGTTAAAAGTAAGGAGCTGTCAACAGCTTCTCCAAATTTTCGTAGGGGGCAGGCGCTGGCGCACAGCTGTTTTCTAACGAAGCGCTTACTTTCTGGAACCAACAAGTCTACCAAAGAAGAGGATCCCTGTTTTACAAAAGCACAGAATTCTTGCAACGATGTTGATGACACAAGATGTACTGATCGAGGAAATTATCTTTAGTTTTTGAGAGGACATCTATTTTGAGTTATTCTCGTTTTCAGTCAAACGCGCGGCAAGACGAGAGTGTGATATTTTACTCACAAGTCTCACAATGGAGAAGTTACGAATTTTTTGTTTTTCGTTTGTTCTATATTCTCTTTCGGAGAAAAAAAAAAGCAGGTCTTGCTTGAGCTTACATAGTTTTACGACGGATTCAAACAGTCTTTATGAAAATTATAAAGCTATCAACAGTTTTCCCAAATATTCCCTTTTTAGAAAGCGGACCTTAGGACTTTATGTTTGTTCTCAATCAACCGAGGCGGCATTTAACGAATCAAGGGGTGTGATTTTTTTCGCGTGTTAAGTTTTTGCTGGGCTTATGCATTTACGCTACGGTAAGCAAATTATGGGAGGCGATTGCGCAGCGCTTTATGCAAACTAAGAAAATAGGATAACTTTCGTAGCGCGAAATTGGATTGCCCTAAAATTTGGTAGATTAATCTGACAGCATCAGTGATGTGATTGAATAGACGTAATCTGTTGAGCAAAAAAAAAAAAAAGGAAGAAACTAGCAGAACATGACTATGCGAAAAAAATCTCACCTCCTGCAAATGACGAAAGTCTTCTACATAATTCAACGGCGTGGTAGGCTTCGGACGTTAATACCGGTTACACATGCTCTCAGCACTTTTGTATCGCACAGTGAGCCTCTAATTGAATATATCTTTCGCCAGTTTTAAGCAATGTAAAGGGAAAAACGGTGACATTTCTTTACTTCAGATACGAAAGCTACAGTCGCCCCACCATCCACCCCACCGTGACTATTTACATCCTAAAAAATCTACCATAATCACCCCCACGGGGAGGATTTGTCGTATCATCAGTTTTGCCGATAGTTTAAATCTGCCGCTCGTATGATAATCGGAAATTTGAAAAATCCCGCGTGTATTTTAAAGCTGTTCCCCAAATCCTCACCGCAAGGAATATAGAGAGAACGCGACCACGAGCGATGAGATAGTCACGTTATCTTTCATTCATGATTATGAAACTGAATCACAAGCTATATTGATATGCAGACATGAGTCTCTATTTGTTTACCGCCCCTATAGACCACCATCTTCCGTCCACGAGTTCTTGAATACATTCATTACTCTGGCGAGGGCTGAAGTGGTTTTACAGGCGATAAATTGCAAATGCTAAGGGTCGATGTCTGTTACCAAGAAAACGTTCCTTGCAAATTTTATGTCATTAAAAGGCGGATTTTAAAAATAACTTTTAAATACGACACGACAATTTCAAATTAATTTCTCTGAGATTTTCTAGATCTCTAGTTTTAGTTTTCAGTAAATTTAGTTAGCTGAATCAATAATCTTTCTTACCATTACTTTAAAGGATCCAGTTTCGCTTGACTACAAAGTTTCATCGTAAATGAACTACAGTTACGAGTCATTTAGACATTTAGGCAGTTGATACACCCTTGAGGCTGAATAAAATTCTAAAAGATGTTTTATCGTTCAGTTCAACGAGTAAACGGTCTTGGAAATCAGCCAACTTAACACAACCGTCAACAATCGCAATTTTTGTTTCAAATTTCCAGAACTTTCTTTCAACTTGAACATTCTACAAGGAACAAGAGTATTTCATCGAAATAACAGATTATCTAACAGTCCTTTCATGCATGTATGAATACTGCAAAGGAAAAAGTTTTTTAAGTTGAAATTTATCGTATAAATCGCGCAAAGTGAGATGCTTTGGCAAGAAATTTACCTCTGTTGAAGTGCAAGTGAAGTACAAAGTTCTCCCAAGAGATTAGGCAGCTCTTATGTAACATTTGTCACTTATGTAACACTTGTGCAGCACAAGTTTGGATATTGCCTATATATAGTAACATGTCTTCCTCGACAATTAAAAGTCTAAATTATTGGTTCTCCTTTGTTAATATGCCATCAACCCACGCAGACTGATTAAACGAGAAGATACTAGAGAAGGGAATCTTATTGTGGTACAATCCTCTAAGATCTTTTGGCACAAACAAGTCAAATACTCACAAAAAGGTTTCTCTCTGCTTTGAATTACTCTGCTTTGTAAGTGTCTATCACCAGTTTCAATCTTTGGTTGTTGTGTCTGTAACAAAAGGCCAACGAAAAATTTGAGGCAGGTGTTCCTGTAGATTAAAATTCACCTCACGCACATGATTGGTGAACTGAATGAAACACGAGCTTCCATCATTTCTCTATTTGTAAAGGAAAAAAATCCACAAACTCATTTAATGATTTTCAATATCCGCAGTAGTATCAATCACGTCGAAGTCTTAATTTCAATCTCATCCA